TTACTCTTTAAAGACGATCGAAGAGGCAAGGAATTCTATTATTGTACGATGATAACAAGTAATGACGATCCAAATTATGTTAGCAACTCTTTGGGCATCAACAATGGGGTGAAACGGTGAAGGGTTGAAACTTTAGCGTGCTTCTAGCGTATTTTGAAAGGGGATGACGATACCAAGTTTAGTCCATTCTCTGGAAAACAAATGACTGTAAAAAATGAAATCAAAATATCTATTATTAATGTAACTGAATATACACTTGTAATAATATTGAATATTTCTAAATTTACATTTACTGCCAGTTCTCAAATCACGGGCGTATAATGAACGAGAACTGGTAATGCACTTTCTGTCGCTCTTTTAAATCGCCAAGTGTTTTAAAAAAGTTTGTAAGCAGACTGAAACCATTACGTCATACTCTTGAAGTGAAACTTCTTTAGGCGCATGAGGGTAAATTTTTTACGGAACGTCACGAAGATGTGCAGCGTTTTTGTCGAAGAAAAGGGAGAGAGCGATTGAGACCGAGGGAGAGAGAGTGAGAAGGGTGAATTACCTTATAGAAATTATATCTTTAAAATTTTAGAATTTATAAAGTATTAGTATTTTACACTTTATGCAAAATAATTTATTGAAATTTCAAATGAAGAATTGTCAATTAAAATGCCACATATTTTTATTATCGAAGAAATAAATTGAAAAACTAAATTTAATATTTGTCTTAATTTTCGACACTTTTAATATTTTAATGACAATTAAATTCATTAAATTCCTAACATATCTGCCTTTTTCCCTACCTCTGTCTCGGAAATCTAAAGTTTTAGATTTGTATAAATATGAACAAGAGTAAAAAATTTGTTTGCCAAATAAGTTTCTTCTCACTTGTGTACTTTGTACGCACTTTTTTTTTTTAATTTTAATTTTATTAAAGGGAGATAAATGTGCAAATGAAGTTGGCCAAATAAATATTACACACATGTATCAACTAAATTATTTCAATTAAGAATTTCAACTTCAACTAGAGTTTTAAGGCGAGTTTCTGAAATCACGTTTTCGTCTTTTGTTTTAATTATAGCGTGACCCGTTTAGCTTTGCACTAGCTCACGTTTTCGCATTCGTAGCTCGAAATGTACCAAGATGAAATTCATTCTAAGTTGCCATAATAAAGTTGCAAGCAACATTGCATATAAATTTATGGAACGGCATACTGAATTTATGGAATTTTATCATGTCTTTGATTTTTGTATCTACCTTCACAATCATTACTCATAACACACGTGAAACCAAAATGTTACCTATGAATAATTAAATTTAAAACGATTGCCGACATAATGTTACATCTAGAAATAATAGAAATAAAAACGAATTGCATTGCAACATCGTTAAGAGGCAAAACAGGAGCAGTGGAGCAGTGTTGACCTAGTGGCTTCACCGTGCGACTCTTGACCTGAGGTCGTAGGTTCGATCCCCGACTGTGCACCAATGGACTTTCTTTCTATGTGCGCATTAACATTTGCTCGAACGGTGGAGGAAAAATCGTGAGAAAACCGACAAAATCACGGCGTGTCTTAGACAATGGAGAAAAATCGACCGGCTTTTTTATTAGATTTAAAAAAATATCATGAAACAGATTCAGAAATCTGAGGCCAAGACTTAAAGAGGTTGTAGCGCAACTGATTTATTTAAGGAGCAAAAATGCTTTGTAATTACTATTATTATTCTGTTTTTAAAGTTTGAGGTTTTCATGATATATTTGCGTGTCTCATAATTTGCTTTATAAGTCTTGCTACTAGAAATAATAACTTCGATGGGAAGCAAACCAATCTTTAAGTTTATTCCCGTAAAGGCAAGGTCCATACCAACCTTATAAATAAATGTACATTGTTTAATGTAAATCGTTTGCCCTAAAAAATACCTTGACATTAAAATCAATGAGCCAGTAAATATATAAAGCGGACTAAATTATATCTCATTTAAAATTCAAGAGATATTTTGTCTATCTCCGTATTGCTATCACGTCCCAAGGCCTAGCCGAAGATAAATAAGTTAAGGGTCCCGATATTTCACTCCCAACCAATAATCGAGAGGGGATCTTTAAAATGTCTCCTGAACTGAATTTTAAAGTATAATTGGAGAAAGCTGTTCTTAAAGATTGTTTAGGTATATATAGAAATTGTCATCTTAGGTGACAAGTACACCCCAAGTGCCTTCAGTAAAGCAGACTTTTGCCTGCGCTAGTAATAGTCTGCGCTATTATTAGTCTCACACATTCACATACTTAATTTCTTATAAGACTTGTGTTTGATTAGTTATAACACTAAAGCTAGCTTTTTCTTAACAGTTTTTAACATGTACCGCTGATTAATGGTTTTCTAGTTACTCACAACTCAGGGACTATCTAGTGTGGGGACTAGCGATATATGAATTTTGTCTCAAAATATTTGCCATGAATAAAGTTATTATTATTATTATTGTATTATCCTTATTACCAAAAAATCTGGGGCAGCCGTAGAGCAGGCAGAAGATAATAAACGGCACAAATATAAGAGTCTTTCCTCCAACTTCGATTTTATTCCCTTTGGAGTAGACTCTTGGGCCGTGAGGTTCAAGTGCACAGGCCCTAAAGATTTATGTTGGCGCCTGGTAGATAGTACCGGTGACCCCAGAGCTGGTACTTTCCTGGCTCAACGAATAAGTGTCGCAATTCAGCGAGGAAATGCTGCCAGCGTTTAAGGTACGCTGCCACAGGGACCAAACTTTTTAAATTTGTTTTGATTTTCTTTTTAATAGTTTTTATTATTACTTTGTAGGTTAAGAAAATTTTAAATACTGTATACTTGATTGTAAATATGAACATGTTTATATTATTATAAAAAGTATTAGTGGTTATAGAACGTGAATGCTCTCTCTCTGTACATGTTATCTGTGGAAATGGTCAGTATTAATTAATATCAGCCATCAGCAGCACCTTTGCTGCCACACATTTATTAATTAAGATCCCGAGCAATTTCAAAGGCCAGTAACGCACACGCGAGCCTTCTGGCAGTGTATGGTCCGTATTCAAAGTCGTCATTAAAGGTGCGCTTACACGGGCAACTAAAATTGCTCAATTCCAGTCAATACTCGTCAATTATGAGGTCACGACTACATCAAGCAATTTACGGCAACGGTAACAAGCATCAATATTGCGCAATACAATATTGAGCGATATGGCGCAACTTCATCAACTAGGCGATACTGTCATACACGAGCATTTCAGTATTCGCTCGCTATGGACGACATTCTTCTTGCTGCGGCGGCTTGTAGCGCTTTTTTTATTATTAATCAAAAACAAAAAAGAAAGAAAAGGAATAGGCGTATCTGGGTGCGATCGTTTTTGGCCGCAATTTTCGTTGTGTAAACAATTAGATGATATATTATTCAAAAACTTTACTAGAATGTCACGAACAGACTTTGAATTACTTTTGAATAAAGTAATTAGAAAGTATTATTATTTAGACCTCTCGCTCTCCCCGCGGAAGCAAGACGGCAAGCCGCAAAACAAACAAGTGCGAATGATATACAAAAATTGCTAGGAATTTCCAAGTCCATTGGATATTCGTCAATTCGTATCTGCGACATTGAGCGATATGAAATATCTGGAGCAATTAGAAGCAATATCGCCGAAATAATTTATTGAAATTTATTGAATTTATTGAAATTGCTCCATTAATTGCTCCAGATCGGTCCATTCGTGTCGCCGAGCAATTATTGCCCTCGTATAAGCGCACCTTTAGATCATCTGAAGCTATATTTGAAATCAAAATGGTACCCAAGTAGCTAATTCCAGATGTATTTATAGCAAATTTAGATCGAACTAGCACTTTTCGGCACGCAAGGCTAAGAGACAAGCAAGTTACATTAATACTTCAGCTAATCTTTGTACAACTATTGGTCAAATGGATATATATTAGGTGATTATGAAATTATGAAATTGACGTTTTGTATGGGATGAACAAAAGGTAGATTTTTTCAAATATATAATTCATATATTTAATTAATCAAAGTATGAACCATTGCTATCTATGCACTTTTGCCATCTTATAGTTCATTGATCCTTTTACTAAAAAAAAATTGGACGGGAATCAATAAAATCTTTGAAGGCGGTTTCGGCTGCGCCATCAGAGTTGAATGTTTTACCTTGCAAGAAGTTACACAAATTTCGAAAAAACATGGTAATCTGTTGGAGCGAAGACCGGGAAGTACGTTGGATATATCAGACATTCAAATTGAATTTCAAATTCCTCTAATTTGGTAGCAGTCTGTTGTGCAGTGTGTGGTCTAGTGTTGTCGTGAATCAGCAGCGGCCTAGAGCGAGAGGAGAGGATAAACACAAGCAAAGAGCCTGGAGAGCTCGGACCAATTGGTAGTTAGACTGGGCGCAGTTCCTCCCTTTGCATGATCCTTCACTTCCAAAAGTTTTTCGCTAAGCTTGGGTATTATAATTAAAGACAGTTATATTGTATGCCATTTATTTCGAAATCTTAAAATAAACTTATGACAAAGAAAAACCACTTAAAAATATAATTACCTGTTCGGCACTTTCTTACATACCCTATATCTAAAAGTATAGAACGCTTACAAAATTTGTATAATACAAATTCACACTATACCAAAGGTGCCTTTAAACAATTTATTAATTCATCTACATATAAATAAATGACAAAATTCTATGACAATATCGATTAATGGTCTCATTAAAAAAAATACTACAAGCCTTAACTTTTTACGATTACAAATGCATGCAGTACACAAAATATAATTAGTACTATTCTTCGGTCTCTTTAAATATAATCTTTATTATTAGGTAATTCAATCAAAATACTAAAAGTTTTAGAATAAGCTTTTCGAAGTGCAAAATGATTAAGTACAACGAGTAATGTATGCGTGAATAACTTTATTAAATCATTTATTACATTTATTTTTACCCAGGATTTGAAGTGTCGAACTTAAATTCCAAAATTTACCTAAAAGTCGAGTGGTGGTAGTGGAGGGCTACTTTTATTCCAAATTCGCGGTGCAACTGAAATAAAATATGTTTTGTACAGCATTAATGATTGATTTACTCAATTATTAGCTGTAATTTGAATATTAAGATGCAATAAATTTCATTGAAATCTTTTTCAATATTAATAGCGTTGTTTGACTGTAGTTGACATGGTTCTAAAAATCATCATTTCATTTAAGAATACAAATCGCAATTATTATTTTAATTTAATATATTATTGTCAATTAACCAAAATTTTACTAAAGCGAAACTATTTCAAAAATAAACACTAATGCAATTTTTTTTTAAATAATAAAAAAATATTAATTTTGAGTAATTTTTAGAAAAGAGAAATTTTAAAGAAGTCTGTAATAGGCAAATTTCGGTTTAAGCTCTTTTTGATAAACAATTGAAAATATCTTGGTAAACGTTTATTATATGAAGGTATTTTTTATTAATTTTAACGCATATTAATAGTACATATTTGCATCTGTTTGAATCAATTAAAACATTTAGTTTTTTTATTATGTCATAATATAATTTTACCATGATCAGTTGAACCTTTAGGCGATCGACTTTTTGGTTGTTTTTGATTAGATTTCTTTGCTGAAAATTAAAGCATTATAAATATTCTATACAAATGTAGTGGTATCATTTTGAATAAAACTTTAGATATATGGATATGTATTTTTTTTATAAACAGGGGGCAAACTGGCAGGAGGCTCATCTGATTAAGTGATACCGCCGCCCATGGACACTCAATGCCAGAGGTGCACGAGTGCGTTCCAGCCTTTTAAGAATTGGAACGCTCTTTCTTGAAGGTCCCTAAGGCGAAGTGGTCGGACATACTTTAGTGGGTAGCTGGTTTCACATTAGAAGTAAGTAGATTATGTTTAGGAGATATATAATGAAATACAAATCTTTAAAAAAAATTAAACTCATCAATGTCAAATTGATTGAGTAATTGCACTTCGTGATTAAACGCGTTTAACTTCCTGGCTTGATTCCTGAGAAAATAATTCTGAAAGGTTGTTCGAAACATATCCATTTAAACAGACTTCCAGTCTCCACTGGGTAAGATCTCCACGACAAGCCAAAACGACAGTAAAAAATATAAAGAATACTGTGAGAAAAAAATACTTTATCACAAGTCGTTAATAACTCCGTGCATTTTCTAATTTATTTCTGAATCTATAGAATTCTCTGAATTACGGATTTACAGCTATTTTCTTACAATACTTACAGCTTTTTTCTGAGTTTGCGAAGTGACGGTATAAATAAATCAATAATATGATTATCATAGCCATTACACAAATCACTTTTAGTGATACGCAAGGATTATCAGTCCACTGTAAAATATATATTATAACTATAGTACAAAGACATAGACAGGCTAATGTTCTGTGAAACCACAGCCCGTGGGCACTAAAACTTACAAGCCTTTAATAAATTCTAAAAATATCGGAGATATTCAAATAAGATTTAAAAAAAATCGAGAATTACCCAACATCATAGACAAAATAACTGTATAGTTTTTTACTCCACAGATGGTTTAACCTTTTAAGCCTGGGCCTCAAATTTCTGAATGAATCGTGATTTAACTTGACAATTCAAAAGTGTACTTGGTTACCCACTTGAATAAAGATATTTTGAGTTTTGAGTTTTGATCATTATTTTGTTAATAGGCAGTATTCTGTGTCGAGTTTTGGGGTCGGTTTACTCACAGTGTTTCGCTTCTCACCTACGTACGAGCGAGTATTAAATGCGTACATAGGTGCAGAGCCTGTGTTCGAACCTACGACCTCAGTGATGAGAGTCGCATGCTGAAGCCGGTAGGATGTTGGCCTACTCTCTTCACGATCATTAAAGTATCACTGCAATGACTATTTTTCACTGGGTCAGCTAATAATTAAATAATAAAATTAACTTATTTTACATACAATAGACCTCGCTAAGCGATCCAATGATAAATGACAGAAGGCCGAGCCTGGTTCCGATTTTGTACCATCTGGACACCTTACACAAGAGTTTCCACCTTCTATAGAATATGTATCTGATGGGCACAAACCTGAAATGAAATATAAATCGGGATGCGATTCTCTAACCCGAGGTCAAATTGAAATGTAATTTCCTTGGCACGTATGGTTAGCATTCCCACATGCCTTAACAAATCTACGTTTATAAAGCACAAACAGCTAGATATTAAATCCTGCCTGTGTAAGAAAATTAAAAGGAGTATGAAGAAATGTTTTAATGAGGTTAATTTAAAACAATCGACAATGACTGAGTGTCTTGCATTATGACATAACGCAACGAATGCTCAATCATTCCCAAGAATACTTCATAATTTCTTATAATTTTAACCCCAGCAAACTCTTTTGACGTTGTGTCTAAAAAATTTAATATTGAAATCGAGTCTATTAAAAAAGAGATATAATGAACCCCCTATAACGCGGTAGAACCGGACCGCGTTATAGGAAAACAAGTTGTAGGAGTATTCTAGTAAAACCATTTTTTGAACAATTAAAAAACCAGGAAAACACATTCACTAAAGTTATTTAGTTTAATTTTATAACACAATTGAATAGGTGCAAAGGTACGCCAATTATAGACATGACAAAACTTTATACATTTCACATTACAGAAATATATCGCGTTATATGTGGGCGAAATATAATATAAGATAATAATTGTATTATAATTGAAAGATGGAATCTAACCGCAAATCTTCTGACTTGAAACCAAGAAAAACCCAGCTGGACATGCAACAACTACATGTATGGTCCCAGGGTCAGTATCTGCCAACGAATGGTATTCATTGTGTCCGTTGGAATCTTAAAAAATAAATAAAACTTGAATAATATATTACGCTACGGCATTGGACATAATTTAAAAACAACAATCGAATAATAATAGAATTTATGTAAGACTTAATGTAAGAGAATAATAATAAATATTTATTGAAGTTATACTTCTTTAGGCGCGTTATGAAAAATTTATGAGAGTGTAACTTTACGATGCGCGCGCACCGCGACACAAAATTAACAGAATGAAGTTGCCCACGGAAGATGCTACGGCATTGGACATAATTTAAAAACAACATTCGAATAATAATAGAATTTATGTTACACTTAATGTAAGAGAATAATAATAAACATTTATTTATTTAATTTTTCAAATGTAAACTGAACTTTATTGACTATAATGACTCCTTTTCCAGTCTTTGATTATTTAATTGTAATTAATTATTTGCATGCAATCAAAAAATACTTTTAATAATGCCAAAGAAGTATAACTTCTTACGCGCGTACATAAGTACACGCACCGTTTTTTAAGTTAATTTATAATATAATAATCAATAATCAAAACAAAATTCCGTTGAATTTAAGTTTTGTAACTTTAGTACAAGAATTTAATTTTAATTAATTTTTAACTATCGCGGAATATGCTTACTACTTGTATTAATAATATCCGTAGCGCTATATCCTGCATGAGCACACCTCACATATACACCCTCACGTACATACCTTTTCACACCATGACACAGCACAGCCGAATAAGGTATTTTGTATTTAATTTTTTTTTCTTTCGTACATATTATGTTTTACATCTTTGAGTTGTGGTATATAATTTATTTTAGTTATAGGATGACGAAAATATCAACAAATTATACCCTAAAGACCTTAGTAAGTCTCGCATTAATGGGTGGTAAAAATCTTTCAACTTCGGTATTAAAACACGTGTAAAAATGTGAACTTACCACTCGTCCTAAGTGTATGGCTAACAAATGCTTTGTGTTCTTGCATTGATGGTGTCCAAGTTTTCACTTCTTCTGGTAATGAACCACCGTGATACATTATCATAACTACAATATTTAATTATTATAAGTATAACTGGTAATGCACTTGTAGTATAAGATCCCGATATACAACGACCTTCACCGAGATGCTTATTTAATGAAACGTATTTTATATTTAATTCAATATGTCAATAAATATAATCCATATGGGTTGCCTAGCAAATTAAAGTCCAGAGTATGTTTAATTAATATTTAAAAAAAAAATGTTTTTATAATTTGCATGTAGTAATTTTTTTTAATTTTTTTCAATCAATATTTTTCATCAGGGTAGTATTATATATGTATCACTATCACTTTCTTTTTTACTAAAGATGTATATATACTTTAGTGTAACATAAAAAATATACACATAAATAATTAATTGATTAAAAACAACCTAACGTTTGCATATTCTATGGGCTTCATACTTTCGATTGGTATAGAATTTATCTAATAATCATACCGGTAAAATGTTTAAAAAAATTTTTTTTTTAAATATTAATTAAAATACTCTGGACTGAAATTTGCTAGGCAACCCATATGGATTATATTTATTGACATATTAAATTAAATATAAAATACGTTTCATTAAATAAGCATCTCGGTGAAGGTCGTTGTATATCGGGATCTTAGACCATTGTTAGCCTTGCGTGAGCTTTTTTTAATTGACTAACTTTTTTTAAATATTTTAAATCTCTTTTTAAACTTTATAGCATATACTGAAGTATTTCCGAACTAATTCGACTTAGGGTCCTTCAAGAAAAGATCGTACCAATTATTAAAAGGCCGTCTACGCAATCGCGAGCCATTGGCATTGAGAGTGTCAGTGGGCGGTGAGCGTTCTGCCCGTTTGCCCCGATCTATAAAAAAATGACAAAGTAATTTATATGAAATTTATATTGCACTAAAATATTTTTATTTTTATTACAATTTTTAATATACTAAATTTTTGTGCATATACATATGTAACGGGGCAAACGGGCAGCAGGCTTGTCTGATGTTAAGTTATACCGCCGCCTAAGGATACTCAATGCCAGAGGGCTCACAAGTGCGTTGCCGGCCTTTTAAGAATTGGTACTTTTTCTCGAAGGACACTAAGTCGAGATGGTTCGGAAATACATCGGTGGGCAGCTGGTTCCACATAGTGGTGGTGGCAGAAACTGCCTTAAAAACGCTCAGTTGTGGACGAACGAACCATACGTGTGGAGTTTCATATTCTGTCTCGACTAACGACGAAACTCAGCTGGTATATATTTTATAATTTACTTACCGGGTATTGACGCCAAAATGGGTGCATTTTTCGCGTACAATACAGACATTGAACTTCTGAAATTTCTCTGGCATTCAATACTACAGTTTATACTTGGATATTGTGGAAAAATAACTGTTAGAGTCCTTAAGAGATACGATTCGTCTTTCTGGAAATGGATTTATTCTATTAAATAATTTTTTTTTTTAAATAGAATACAGTCATTTTGAACTGACTTTAGGCAAGTCCCATGCTAAGCTGGTTAAGCTTGTGTTATGGGTACTAGGCAACGGATATACATACATATTATAGATAGATAGACATATAAATACATATTTAAACACCCAAGACCTCGCACACACAAGAAGGCACAACACCAAATGCTCATCACATCGATGTTCGTCTCAGCCGGGGATCGAACCCGGGACCCATGGATTCGCAGTCAGTGGTACTAACCACTAGACTAATGAGTCGTCTTATATGTGAGAGACAATCCAGTGGATCTATTCCCATAAGTGTTATTCCACACATGGAGATAATACTTTTTTTATGGCTCTGGCACGGTTTGTGCATTAGCCAGCGTCAAGTATAAGATTTTTTATAATTCGTGCTTGCCTTTTTTTAGAAATTCGACCGTGTCCTCCATGTACGGTTTAAGCACTCGCTCGGTACCGCACAACCGTCCCAAAGGCCGAGAACAAATTTAAATTAATGCCCTCGAACCGGGAATCGAACCCGGTACCCCTCACCTAGCTGCCACTTAATAAGACCGCTAGACTATGACGCCCCCCAGATAATACTTCTAAGTCCAAATCTCTCCAAATTATGCTCCAAGTATCAAAAGAGGTTCAGTTTTGCGATTAGAATTTTTAGAGGTGACGTGTATTTTTGACGTTCATAAGTGTACCATTGTGTTACCTATATGAATAAATGATTTTGACTTGACTTATAAAATAGCTTAGTAGCTATACTTTAATATGCTTTAGTAAGTAATGTTGACAAATATTTAAAAACATATTTTTTTTTAATTTCTTTTGCAAAGAAAACATAATTTATTAATTTTCCAGATACATCACTTACCCTATCTTTCATACATACGGGTTCATCAATTCTTATGGAACAAAAATTCCCACATATAATTTGACTCATCAGTTCTCCTATTTTTTGTATTGCTCGTAAATCCTAAAAATATCATTAATTTTAATAAAATGTTATTCCTATTCAACGCATTTGGTATTCTACGACATACACAATGGAGAACAAATTCCTAATGTAATAAAATTTGCACTTCAAACAGAAATCGAGGCGTCATACGAATAATCCTACATTGTTATATGCCCAATTTTCGTATTAAAGCCTATTTTTTAAATAACGATTATTTACCAATGAAATTATATTTTATTTTTTTATTATTTATTCAATGTATGTAATTTTATGTTTTAGCAACCAAAATATGAAACAATCTCAGAACATTTAATGACTTTTACTCTTTTTCTTGTTTGAACTGCATAAAAAAGAATTAAATTATGTGAAAGTCTGTGAACTGATATTATTACTAACATATACATATACATACACATCATCAGACCGCCCAGATCTGAGCGGCCTGTGACTCAGATTTCTGCATCTGTTTCGTGATCATTTGTTTATTTAATAGGCAATTTGGTGATCAGCCTCCTGTGCCTGACACACGACGTCGTCTTTTTGGGTCAATAGCCGGTTTCCTCACGATGTTTTCACGAAAGAAAGTACATTGGTGCACAGCTGGAGATCGAACCTACGACCTCAGGCCAACACTGTAACTGTTTTTTTAATTCATAAAAAACAACCAAAAATTAATATTTCATTTCTGCTTACATTATAAGTGCATGACGTAGATGTTTCGTATACCGTCGCGAAAACTACATTAAACTTGGGAACATCCATCACGCTCACTTTGACACGCCGCACAATCATATTGTCCTGAAATATTTGCAGTACTCAACAATATTTACAATACAAATTTCCTTTCATATATCGGAAAATGTCTTTAGCAAAAATTACGTGGAAAAATGCCAAACACGGTCAACTGCTGAAATTAAGTATAGTCACTAAATTATATGTTCATAACTAAAAATATATTTCGCAAAATTACATTTAATGCCCTCTTAGTTAATGACGAAAAGCAAAAGTCCTTTTTTGTTTGCCGAACTTCTAAAAATATTTAAACTGGTGGCGAGGAAATGCTGCCAGCGTTAAAGGTACACTGCCACAGGGACCAAAACTTTTGTTAAACGTTACGATGCGGGGCGGAGATTAAATTACGCGTTATTGGTAATATTATTTTCGACTTTCCAGTAGTTTACACCACATAACGTTAACTTTTAGGTATAGAGAGTCACTAGGTGGTCACGAAACGTTTTACTATACTTGGGTACAGAAAAACGTTACGGCGCGTTACACGGGGGGGGGGTTAAAATTCTTAAAAAATTGCGTGACGTAATACTTGAACGCAACCTAAGTTAACTCATGAACTTGTTTACTCCTATCGGACGACTCTTAGTACTGCTGCTTTGTCCATATCAAGATTGTATTTAGTAACTGAGTTAAGAATTATCAAACAATCTGTAATCCTATAAGATAGACCTAGACCATAGACCAAGAGACGCGCTAATTTAGAAAAAAGTACTCTCTTAGTACATACATTATTATAGCATACGTAGACTCCGGAATCCTCTTTCCGAATATTTTTTATATTAAGTCTCGTTAAATTGGCTAAATTATTAAGTTTATCTCCTGCTATCCAAAAATGATGTTTTTCTTCTTGTTTACATCCTGAAGGATAACAGTCAAGAACTATAGAATCACCGGTCATAGCAAAAACTTCGTCCTGTAATAACCAAACAATTTAGATTACTATAAGTGAATGTCTTATGGTCCCAACTATAAGCCAAATAGAAGCAAAAACAATGTTTTTAAGGATTTATTCCGTGTACACATTTTTTTTATAGAACAGGGGGGCTAATCTGATGTTAAGTGATACCGCCCGCCCATGGACGTTCTTTAGCACAAACGTATAATTCACACATAATTTTCAAATCAATGTATACAAAATATTGTAGACTATTTTAAAAGAGTATGTAAGGAGTTTCTTGCCCATTCTTCTGGATGAGTCATTTTTTTAAAATATTTTTAACTTATAATGTTGACTTTCAAAAGTGCCTTTTTAATAAATGATTTGACTTTGACTGTGACATGTAATTAATAATACATGAAAATGTTATTGATATGATCAAACTCATATTCCTCGGCTTGTTCTACTTATGCGCGTGCTTGTGTGAGCCTGCTAACTTACAATGCAAACAAACAATTTAATGAAATTTATTTTAATTATTCTTACCGTTAACGGTTTTAGAGGTGGTAAGTTTGTTAATACGTCTATTGTGCTTTCGCTTTGTCTCTTCGTCCGTCTTGGAGCCTGCTGATATAATCCATGATCACCCCTTACAAACCCCTCAAATAACTCCTTGTTATCATGGAGTTCGTAAAGGTGCTTATCTTCTGGACCTTCACTGTCCTCGTAATTCATAAATTAAAGGTATTTTTAATGAAAATGGGTAATTTGCGTTTGTTTGTTTATCAAGAAGAATAATTTTAGAACTATTAAAAATATTTTTAAACTTGGTCATTTTGGCGCCACTTTTTTATATGTAACAGCAGGAAAACTGCCTCCTGGCCGTTCATCTGATGTTAAGTAATACCGCCGCCCATGGACACTCACAGGCTCATAAATGCGTTGCCGGCCTTTTAAGAATTGGTACGCTCTTTTCTTTAAGGAAATCGAATTGGTCCGGAAATACTTCAGTAGGCAGCTGGTTGTGCGTGACAAAAACTGCCTTAAGGAACGCAAATTGAACGTCATTTGATATTTTAACGCCCAGTATTCCGATGCTAGCTGAGGCTTTAAGGAGAGTGTCTTTGAAGAGACAAAGGGTGCTTTTTAGCAGAAAAATATTTAAAAAAATATACATTTACGAGGATTACTTTCCATGTTTAGCTTTCTTGATGAATACATGTTTAATTATCAAGAACCTTATAGTATAAACAAAACACAAATTAAATTACCTTTCGTCCAACTCAGGTAATCCATCATCTTCATACAGTTCCATCTTCGAGTCCCTTCGCCATCTCTCGTAATTCGAACTAATTGCATCTTTTTTACAATGCTTCTTTCTTCTATTAAACTTTATCAAGAACTTTTCTGGCACAACACTATATTTGTAGCAATGGATATTCTTCATATATGTTTCAAAGTCTGGTTCGGCCATAGTCTTCTGTGCATTTAAGATATGGCCTAAAGTGGACGATATATCGCATATAGTTATGTTTCTGCCGCCGATCTCTTGAAAACATTTTGTATGTTAGAGGTGTGATAGAATTTTCTTAACATAAAAGTTCTACGAAGAGTAGTGTTGGCCTAGGTCGTAGGTTCGATCCCCGGCTGTGCACCAATGGAGTGCTCGTACGGTGAAGGAAAACATCGTGAGGAAATTGGCTTATCTTAGACCCAAAAAAGTCGACGGCGTGTGTCAGGTACAGGAGGCTGATAGATTAACAAATGATCATGAAACAGATATAGAAATCAGACCCAGACCTTGTTAAAGGTTTTTTTTTTTTTTTTTTTTTTTTTAAATGTTTCCAGATTATTCCCCGACTATATAGTCGTCGGAGGTGTTAAAGCTTATAAATGTATTTACAATGTTTACTTTCTATTACTATATTACTACTCTACTACTACCTATTTCTTTTGACAACCCCTCATGACCCTCAGCAAATCCCAAAAGATGCCCCTAACCTAACATTACATTATTCCCTTCAAACTGTTCTACCCTCATCCCTACTTCTCACTTATACCTGTCTATCCATACATGGGACATCTAAAATACACTGTCTCTTCAACTCATATACAAGACAGGCACACTTTTCTAACCTAACCTTAAACACAGAACCGACTTCAAATTGAGTATAATCCTTGTTTCATTTTTTATTATCGAAAAGCCAACAAATTTGGAAATAACTTGGTTATTCACTGTTTCACGTCTCATATTTATTCATTTTTCTATGTGTTTCCACTAAAGTTCTTCAATATATAATCTGTACACGGCTCTTCTACGCACTTCCTTTCTAGTTGGTCTGCTCTTTATTCCCTCCATGCCCAATCTTTAAAAAAAATTCAATTTTTTTGTTGAGTAAATGCGCTTTATTTATGTTCTTACAATTTCAACTACAAGGATTGAAAGACCACCCAAACTTTCGATCACTTCGGAGTCACTATACGCCGTAGGTTGTTTCTGGGTGACAAAGGATTTAGTCGCTAAGAACCACAGTCAGCATACACGGAAAATAAGATAGTTTCATTAAAAGTCTCAATTCGGCACCATTTTTCCATAAAAAGCCACAATTCTCTACTTTATTCCTCGTTATATTTTATCCTATCTGTTCTAGGAGCTCTTTTCTCTATAGGCTATAAATTTGATATAGGTTCTTTGAGGGGTGAGAATATATCACATATCTTTTATACTTCATTAGACTAAATAATTTCTTTCTTCTATAGACACGGCCTCCTATTCTAAGGTCTAACAATATCACGAGGATCAAGCGCATTCAGTATACGTTCGTAAGCTCTAGACCACAACTTCGTTTACTGAATTTAATTCTTCCTAATTCCTAGCTTTTTATGGCTAGCCCAGACTCTGCCGCATATAAGATTATCGGCTCGATGACTCTGTATAAATAATATGAATTAATCTCGTTAAACCCACCAATTTCCCCCCTTGCTAATTGTTTGTAAATATTTGTTGCTTTCCTGCATATATTGGAGATATGTTTATTAAAGGTCAATTTAGCATCAGAGTCAAACCAAGTATTTTTATTTCATCTGATAGTTTCACGACACTCCCCATTTTCAAATGTGGTTTGTCATATTTTTTTTTAGTTATAATCATAGCTTGGGTTTTTGTGAAAATTGAGTCTATTTTTGTACCCCAATCTATTACATAAGCAAGAGCAGCATTAGCATTTCGTTCTATTTCAAATGCTGATTCTCCGACAAACACCATATGACGTGTCTCAAAGGCACAATAGTACCCTTTTTTCCATTTCTTCAGCAATGGATCCAAAAGTAGGTTCCAGAGTATAGGGCCACCTATGGATCCCTGAATGCATCCTTTCGACGTATTTCTATTTACCTCCTCTCCCGCATATTTTAACTGAACCTTTCGTTCTTTTAGGTAGCTATCTATTATCTTTCTCAGGTTAATCGGGACCCCTAGTTTAGCCAGCTGAACCCGTATCATTGGCCACCAGGCACTGTCAAAGGCGCCCTCTATGTCCAAGGAAACTATCGTTATCAATTTTTTCCCATTTAGTTGGTCTCGTATATAGCCGACAAGGTCGTAAGGGAGTCTTCTTGCTCTTTTGCATAAAACTTGACGGTGGCTTAGTTTGGGTATCCATGCCATTTAATCTAACACAACACCTTTCTAGGATTTTTCCCATCACGGCAGAAGACCTATTGGTCTATAGGACTTGATCTTAGTCATCCTTACCAGGTTTCCTGAGAACCACTACTGTTGCGACTTTCCATAGTTTCGGGAAGTATCCAAGTTCTAGACATTTGTTTTGCCATTGATAGGAACACTCCCGGATCCCGCAGAATAGCTCGTGAACAAATATCGAGAGTGAGGCCATCTGATCCAGGTGCTTTTTTGCAGTCAAAGCTACCAATCACCATGTTGAGTTCAGTAATAGTAAATGGAGATCATGGTTGTATATGTCCTTTCATTTACTGTTTCAGCGAGCTGTCTTGTTTTCTTATGTTCCTGATCATCGTCTTCCTCTTGATCGCGCGGATAAAAAACCTCTGAAGTAGCTCAGCCGACTCCCTTGAAATAGAGTTTTACCTTGATTATTTAGGTAGGTCTTCAGCTCTCAGTGGTTTTATTTATAATTTTATATATCCCCTTAGACTCTTCTTTATCCTGTTTTTCACAGTACTCTTTCAACTATTAATCTGTGCTTTTTTTGCTTTTTTCATATATATCCTTAGCCCTCTAGATATTCTTTTATCACTTTCTGTCTTCGAACCGCGGCAGCGCATCGAATCCTACGCTTTTTAGTCACCATTATCCGTTTAAGGTTTGCCAGTTCTTTGGTCCACCACGGTATGGTAGGGAGTGATTTATTTTTTATTTTAGTATGCAGGCATTACTGGTTTCTGTTATAATATTTATATATGTTGCTATAATGTCTTCTAATCTGTTTTATCGGTTATATTATCTACGTTTGTTGATTTATTCTATTTTCCAAAAGTAACTGACATTTTCTCTAAAAATTAGTCCAGTTAGCTTTTTTAGTATAATATATCCTTGTTGTTTTTAATTCTGTGTTATTCTTTGTTATTTTTGTTTTATTGTAAAGGTAATACATTTGGTCAGAGCTAATTAAGTTTTGATTTATTCCAATTTTAATTTTTTGTAAATATCTAATGTGCAAGCCTTACGTCTATAAAACTGGTATATTGTTTATTGGCTCGTATGGTATAATATGTGGGGTGTCTCCCTATTTAAAATTTGCATTTCTAATTGCTCCAGTGTTGCAGCCATATCTTCTCCCCTTTCATCAATTACTGAGCTCCCCACCAGACACTTTTCGTTTCATCTCCTCCAAAAATTAAGTTGCGTTTAAATTTGCCTTTGATTTTAACTAGTTGGTCTAGGTATGGCACCAAGGGTTTGGGGTAAGGTTCAAAGTAGTAGAACGCTACATTTCCACTTTGAATTTTTACCACCACAATATTGTTTGTGGTAAGTTCGGGTACTTTCAACTTTTAAGTCTGGTCAAACACTCTATCCACTTTTACATCCCCCTCTTTTTGCGTGCTTTGGTAGACTCTAGCCCCCTATACTGCCTCACCCTACCTCTCGATGTATGCTCCTGTAGTACCAATTGCTATACCTTTCTTCTGTGATTCAATTATAATTTCGTTAGTGGCCAAGTTTTTCTTCTGTAGGTTTGCTTGAATATTAAGTATGATTTTGAGTTTTTGTCCGTTGGGCCAACTGACAACCTTACAATATGCTACTGAGGCCCTTCCAATAAGTCCATCTTTTCCTCGTAGGGCACTCAGAGTCAAAGCTGTTATGATCTGTAATTTCAGGTTCGCACTTTACAGTTAATACAGGATGGGATCCCCAGCCATATATTCGGGCAATCATTTTTATGAGCCACCACAGTTAACAGTTTTCTTCTTTGCTGTACATGATCGCCTACCATCCCTATCCTAGCACTTCGAGCATTGTATCAGGGGTGATTGATCCATAACTTTAACCCTTTGCAAGTCGATGTGCATTTTACCTTCAGTTGTTATATTCCCCACAATGGAGGAGAAACTTTACAATTATGTGATTCGTATGCAAGTTCCTAGCTCTTCTACGATACTTTACTGTAGCCCTTATGTCCTCTTTATTTAAGTGTTTTATTAGGTGTTCATTTTGAGTATTAATTGATGATATAATATCGTATCCGTATTGGTTTGCAATACATCGTAAAGAATTATTAAAGGGTCTTTGTTTTTGGCAGTCTGAAATGTTAGTGTCTTGTCAATCTTTAACCGTTCCGATACTTTTTGTAGCTGTTGGGTGGATAAGCTATAATTATTTGATCTTAGCTTTTTTACTTTATTGTTTATTGGTTTTTTATTTATGCTTTTAATGGTCGATAATTTATTGTGTTTTGTTTGTTGAAGTAAAATTAAAAGTAATCTAGGCTTTAAGTTGATGCAACCGTGTTCCTTTTTTTATTTTTGACCCAACATACTGGATATGTGGATGTATCGAGAATGTAGTTGTTTCTATCTTATTTATAATTTTTTTTCCTTATTTGTTGTTTATCCTGTTTTTGATTAGTAGTTTTAACTGTTCAATTTTATCGTTATTTTTTCTTATAAGAGTCCTTGTTCCTCTTTTCATTAAAATTTCTCTAGTCCTGCACATTCCGTATTTAGCGTGTTTTCTTCTTTTGACTGCTCCTCAACTAGTTGACTTGTATCGACCCGTCTTAATGTCACCGTTGTTTTTTCAGTTCCTTGACAAGTTCAAAAAGTCTTTCGCACTTACAATTTTATTTTTAGTTCCATTTTTTAAATTTTAAACTCTGATTGTATCTTGATGGTGTATAAGATTTTCGCCTCCTCGTAGGGGTTTGTTTTGGGAGAATAGAATTTAGATACTTTTATTGAGTTTTTGGCTGAAGTGGTGTCTTTTTGTATTTGTTTAGCGTCCAACTAATTATATTATTTTTTGTTCCCTCACGCTCGCAGAACTCATTCTTCTTTGAATACCTGCTTCATGAGTGCAGTCCTTGGATTTTACCATGCCTTTAGGTGGTGTTTTAAAATGTTAGCGTATATGTGTTGAAGGTCTCGTCACAAAAGAAAGAAAAAGAAAAATGTTTTAAAATATAATATGTGTTATATATATATATACTGTCAACTATCAGTTATATTTCAAATAATATGTTATGATAACCATCATTCAATTGTTATAGGTACCAAATATTACAATATAGAATACCGTTCGTCGAGAAATTGATTAGTAATTCTTTTATTATATTTACCGTACCATACCTACCTTTCACTTAATTATACAAAACCTTTATCCAACACTAACCCTTCTATATTCTAACAATATTTATTTGTTATGTTACAAGTATAAAGATACGAAGATGTACATAGTTAGTTAATGTTTTTATATTATATATAATTAACTAATGTCCTAAGTTAATAAATCTAATGTCAATCTCCTATTATTTCGGCGATGTTAAACTTTTAAAATAAATTGCACAGTTATTTTTTTTTCATAAAGTTATTATATTCTGATAATTTTAAAAAGTTTATTGCATAAATGTTATCCTCAGGTAGTTTATGTCCTCATATAATGTCCATTTTTTTTGTAGATTTTAGTGATTGGTATTGGTAAGCCCTTATTGTGGACTCTGAAGTATTATAAAATTGACCGTATATCGAGAATCAAAGTGATTTGTAAGGCACTCTATACTAGATGGCGTTATGACTATGCTATTTTATTTTTCATTTCATTTAAAAAATAGGTTATATTTTTATTGATTTTGTTGTAAAAGTACAATTTAATTGATGACCTTTAAATTTTCATAATAATTGATAAAACCATTTATTTCGTTCGATGGGTGTCTTTTGATAGACTTCGACTACTTTTTGATATTGCACTTTTTCAAATTTAGCACTGAGTCACTAATAAAAAGCTTTGCCCACACTTATGTTAATAGATGATTGATTATTTTCCACTTTTTGGTCTATACATGGGTTAGGGTACACAATTATTTCTTAATGTTTCGATAAATTTCTTCCTCGTTCCTTGTTAAAGGTTGTAGCGCCAATGTTTTTTTTTAAGTTAGTACATATTGTAATTATTTGAACATTTAAATTATATCTTAAATTTATATTAAATTCTTACATTCCTATATCTGTGAATTTGAAATCTTCTGATAAAACTTTGAGAACACGAATTTACTTTGTTTATTATGTATAAAATAAGAAACACTTACCTTTGCTGTTGATTTGGTGGTAAAAGTAGGTAGGGATATAAATTTGGACAAATCTAAAAAACAAAGTTAAAATATTAGTTTCGTGCATAGACATAATTTTTACTACTTATTTAATCGACATCTTCGGGACATTGTCAATGGTCAACCATGGTAGATTAAAAATTAAACTAGTATTTTAGAAAATTAAGTCATCATATTACTACTTATTATCCATAATGATTGTATAGGCTAGATTGTAATTCATGTAAATTCGCACTCTCTTTTGTGAACTTTATTGTAGGAAAAAAATTAATCAATCAATAGATTTCTCTCATTTATACATAAATTATAGGTATCTTGTCAAGTCATAAAATGTGACTTTTACAAATTAAATAAAACAATGGATTTGGCATGAGTGCAAATATTGTAACTTAATTGTAGAATCAAGCATTCTACTAATTCTACCATTTCACGTATTGCTTCTGTATATGGCGACAATATACGAGTACTTAGTACAAAGTTAAATTATTAATATTTGACATAAGTCGTTTAATTAAATATAGAAGAACAGTTTAATACCTGTTGTTTTATCCTTACTTGTATCGATTTTTCTGAACGGTGTCAATATTCCGTGTCCTTGAAACCGTTCCTACAAAAAGTTTTATGTATTAATTTTAAAAAATCGTATCAAAATAAAACAAATACTACTAGTAAGTACATATTATGTACACACTTTTTTCTTATCGCCATTTCTACTCCATAAAAATTTATCCGCAAGTTTATTAACAAATCCTTTTTTACTATTATTCACCGACTTCTTAGAGATGGCTAAGTCTTTGCTTTTTTGTATGCCAGCGGTCGCTTCAGAATTAGCTGCTCGAACCCATTCATCATTTAAAACTTTAGAGTTATAATTTAAAACTGAAAAGAGAAGACTTCTCAAATCATCATCATTAATTTGGTCCTTTTTAGACTTGCCAACGTGCTCCAAATTTTCATCCAATATTATTATGGTAGGATTATCTCTATCTGTTACACTTGAAATTTTATGTGAATTCAAATCAGTTGGTTCGTTATACGTATCTATGGTAACATTTCTTATATGTCGTTCAGAATGTTCCGTGGCATGCGTTTTATATTTTAATTTATTCAAAAAATGCTTTGTTACGCCCATAACAGTATTTATTATTTTATTTTTTTCCGTCTTATAAATCGCTTTTGATGCAGCACTTGGTTTATTGTGTTTTGTAGTGTGCAATACGTTTGTGGTAGATTTATTTCGGCTAGCATGTTTCGTATTATTCGTTGTTAATTTATGTATAGTTTTAGGGGAACTTTTATTGTTCTTATGTCTGGAAGTGGAGGCCTTAATATCAGGATTGCCTAGTAATTTAAACAATTTGCCCATGCTATGTACTAGTGAGTCGTGATCGCTAAAATTATACTGATTTACGGTGGTCAAACTTCTTACAGTATCATGTTTTACATTTCTATTTGGACTGTCAGAAGGATAATTTTTCAATAATAATACATTTACTACAGGTTTTGTTTTCCGTCGTTGTCGGAAATTTATTGAATTATTTTTTTTGTTAAAATTTGATATTATATTGTTACTGCTCACATCCTGATTACTTTCCTTCGACAGTTTTGACTGAAATCGGTGCCTCACAAAATCCTTTAATCGTTTTCTTTTTTCTCCTTTAAAGGTTATCACATCATTATTTAAAAAGTTATTAGAATCAAGATTGTTTAATAATTTTGCTTTATTTTTTAAACTGTGTAATACAGTTTTATTTAATGTGCCCCTTTCTGTACTAGGATCACATATTAAATTGATATTTATTTTGTCAAGAGAATACACCTTTTCAACGCCCGATCTTTTTACTAACACTCGTGACAAACAGCTATCAATTGAGTTTTGAAGTAATTGTCCATGTTTTTCAAACTCTTCATCGTATAACAATCCTAACGCGTTAACATTTTCTAAATCGTTAGCAATATTCAAAAAATTCATTAGAAAGGGTGACCCATTGTTGTCGTGTTCCGTAAATTCATGAAGAATGCTTCTTCTGTCAATACCTGATGAAAACATTTTACATGTCCTTCCATTGCATTTCCCCTTTACTCTCTTGTAATAATCATTCAAGGACTTATTAATCCTACTAACGGATTCCCTTAATTTTTTACCACCTGTCGGGTTCATCCAAAAGAAAGTTTGTATTTCAGTACAATGGTCTCTCATGTATTTTGCTAGGTTGTCAAATTCAAATATCAATTCAGATATAACAGCGTCACTTGCAGCACAAGCTTTGCACATTGTCTGATTTGCTTTACAGCGACACCTACAAACTCTATCGTGTCCAAAAAGTCTTTTTATTGAATCCCAATTAATGCTCCTTTTTGTTTACATCCTACAAAACTATTAACTTTGTCATCATTAGTATAGGAAGTAGTTGTTTGAGGTTCAGATACGCTTTCATTTGTTGTAAGTTCCAGATTTAAACTATTTGCATCCATTTTCATTGGCTTCAAAATTAATTGTGCTGTAGGATCAGACATATTTGAGTTTTCTACTAATAAATATAAGCCTGGAGATAATTTATTCTCTTCAATAGTAGTGGAAGGAACTGTTGTTTTTTCAAACGTGTGCACCTGATATACTATATCAATTGGTGAGGCCATTTTAGCCGAGAAAACATTTTTGACCTGAAGCGACTCTGGTGATCTTTTGATAGTTTCACTATAAAAATCCGGTAAAGCTATATGAACTTGAATGGCATTTGTTATTTTTGGTTTTTCACCTACGACGACAGCGTTTACTGTACGATCCGATGTAGCTCCTTGATTTTCATTTTCATTTAAATCTGAAGACTTTTTTAAGTCAACAATTATTTCTAAAGCAGCTACATCATGCGCAGTAAAGCTCTGAAATTGTTTTATACTTCGTTTCACATCGCTATAGTTCTGAAAAGAATAATGGAATAGGTATCTCACAAATTCTAAGGTTTCTAAGGGTTATTTTATATTAGAAATATTTTCTTACGAATATACTCATACTTTTATAGATATTTTATTTTTAGGTGTAAATGTTATTTCCGGTTCAATAACTGGTTTTGCGACCAACTTTGATGCTTCTGAAAATGAAAATATTATATTTAGTAGAAGAAAAATAATTATTAGTATAAAACTTCATTAAAATAAACATTATCATAAACTAGTTATTTTTGATTTAGACACACATAGTTATTTAGAGCAGAAAATTGAATGACTCTGCCAAATATTGAAAATCCATACTTAGCAAACATACTTACTATTTTTTTTCGAAATCTTATCTCTTTTCCTCCTTTCATGTTGGATATAAAAATTATAATTATTTTGTTTCGTTCCATGTTTTCCATTCTTGGTCTTGCCTATATTATTTTTGTATGGCTTTAACTTTGATACAATGTGCCTCACATGTGTAGAAAAGGGAATATAATCCGGCAATGGGGCAGTAACGGATTGAACGTCAATGTTGTTATCTTCAAGAAACTTGTTAAATTTGTTGTCTGACATCGGCAAAGGCGTTGTAAAGAAATGATCAGGGTGGGCTTTCTGCGACAAGTAAATAATATTTATGTCTACATTTGACTTGATGTTTAATCTTGGTTCATTCATTTCGCATATAAGTAATGAAAATTGTCTAAAAATGTACCTGCTGTTTCTGCATTTTTGTAGTTGGAAGTTTTTTAGGTTTCTTCTGTTTTTTAACTAAAATACAACAAAAAATATATATAAAATTTGTTATTGATTATTCCAAACTATATATTAGTACCCACCTAGTTTTAGTAAATGCAACATATAAATTTTAACGAATGTTAATTAAATTTTACATATTAATTACCATTATTCGAGGGATGGGGCTTCTGTAATTTACTACTGTTGGTTCTATGACTTCCTTTAGTATCATTTTTATTTATGCATGGAACAGTTTTCTCTGGAACTTTGCGATGCGTAAATATATTGATGGACTTCGCTCTTTTTGACAATACTTGCTGATTCCCATACCTAGGATCCATGTTTCTTAATTCATTTACTTTCTTATTATCATTGTACAGAATCAGTTTGTAGCTATATTTATTTGGTTGTATCTTTTTTATATTTGTCTTGTAATTATCACTCATAGCCTCCGCCTCCCTCTCTTTATCGTGGTTTACATAATTGTTATGTATATTTTCAGTTGATGGAAAATTTTCTGTAGTGAGACTTCCAAGTAGATTTTCTAATAATGGATCTACCTTTTTACTTTTTTCTGAATTAAAAGTTGATTTAGTTTCTTGGTCACTCGCCGCTTTAACTCCTATATTAATTATGTCGTCAAAATAATTTGTTTTATCTAAACCATTATAAGTGAATGTATTTGTCGTTAAAGATTCTAAAGGTAAATCTAAAAAAAAATGTATGAAGTGTAATTTTTTAAATTTGTTTTATTATATTTCCCTAATTCAGTAAATAATTTAAGCCGACTAAAAATAAAATCTCACCAGGTAGCAAAGGTAGGTCGTTTGATATAAATAAGGGTCTCTCTTTCGTGCTGTATAATCCTTTATTATGTATAATATTTAAATCGTTAGGTAGATAGTAATATTGGTCATAATCATGTGATTCCAATTTACTCGTAATATTTGGTACTTGACCCAATAGCGCTTCTATTTTTGACAATTGGTTGTTGTGATTTACAAAATTGTAATTTGAACTAGTTGTCACTACGTCGTAATCAAATAATTTTCGCACCTTATTATTTGTATCAGTGTACCGGTTTCTTAGCACGATATCTTTTAGAATCTTGAAAGGATTTGAGCGTTTCATTCGATTTACTTTGTCGCGCGCCATTTCTTTCTTTGGATGTTTTTTACGAAAACTCATTTTTTTGAAAATATTCTTAAATTTTCGTTTCTTTCCTTTATTTTGTAATTTTACAATGGCGGTTGGTCTGTGCACTAAACTAACGTCAAAATAACCATTATTCTTTGAATTCTTTCCTGAAGCAATATGTTCATTTAGATACTTCATTATTTATGTTTACACTATATATTATATTTAGACGTGAGCATAAAATTTAAATATTTAAAAATATTTTAATCGCTTAAAAATTAAGTAATTGTCATTTAAATAATACAGAACTTACCAAATAAAGTCGTCGTTGGTCCTATAGTATTTAACTTTGTTTTATATGCATTTCTCTTTATTAATAATTTTCCTGCAGCTCCTTTTATCTTATGATGCGTCTTATTTTCTTTCAGATTTTTGGAACTAAGAGGAGTTGTAGTCTTTTGGTCTTCTTTTAGGGATACTGTTTGAAATGTATGATACTTTTTCGGTGGATCTTTATCGATAAAAAAATAAAAATGTTTCTTAAACCACGAGTCATCACTCTTTGTTGATAAATCTTGATCTTCTAAAGTATCTTGTTCAAAGAAAAAACGTCTTTGTCTTGTAGATGGTAGTTGGGGAAGTTTTTCCAATATGTACTTGCCTACATCATCTACATTATGATGTCTATGCGCTTGATACCGAACAAGGTTAGAGAAATTTTCATTACCTTGGTCTTTTTGAAAATTCAGATAGTATTTAAAACCGTTGACGTAATCGTTATAAGATAATTTGTTGCTCAGAGTATTAAAACTTATTTCATCATCAGCTATGGAAGTTTCATTTTTAGATGGTTCGTTAAGTCCAAAATCGTTTTTTGACGTAATATTATTTTCTTCATCATATTCTTCACCTATATCTGGCAGGTCTTCGTATAATTCTTGAACACTTCGCTTTAAATTACTATATTTAATCATCTCGTGGTCTTTGGAGGTATTCGTTTTTAACAGCCTCATATTATCGTCGTGTGCGTTCATAAGTATTTTCTCATACACAGAAAGCATAGAAAAGTCATCCGTAACTTTTGGTATTGTATGAGTTGGGGTTAATGTCGTTTTTCTGCTGAAAAATTTTCTTTTGGTAAAATGACGCACAGTTGATTTCCGATTTATTGGAGCCGTAGTTTTTAGTGTTTTGATACTTTTGAATAGAGTCGAGTGTTTTGGTTTACAAGAACTTTTACCACCGCTTAATTTATTAAGAGCTTCTTTAATAGCATTCTCACTATGCTTCAATTCTTCACCCAAATTTGCAGATACCTTGTTTTTGATTACCTCATATGATTTTACAAATTTATTCTGGAGATTACTTTCTAAATTATGAGCTATTGTAGCAGCCTTATGGTAAATTGATCGAAGCCTTCGGTTATACAATGAATTTTTATCATCCGTAACAGATTTTTTAAATACCATATAACCTGTTGTCATTTTTGGACTGTGCATTATAGAACCCATATCATACATTATTTCAGTGACTGCTGTATTAATAATATTTCCCGATGACGGTATATGTTGTATCATCATTTTGAGAGCTCTTTGTTTAATTTCGTTCAAAACTGTTTCTATTTCCGCTGTACTATCAAGGAAACTATTATCTTCTGATGGCTGTTTAAAATTTTCAGTAACTTTGTCTCTATATATGGAATCAGAAGAGTCTTCAAATTTATAAATTTTTTTCAGATTCTCCACTTCTGTTGTTAACTCCATTAAGAGTTCAGACAGATTTTTGTGAGAATAATATGAGTGAAAGATGTGTTTTTTACTAGTGGGATGTATATTATGAGTTATATATTTATCGAAACCTGATAAATCAATTTCATGACTTTCAATTTTATTTTTATTATTCCGTTGTGTGGTAAGTTTTCTGTCGTAGTTGCCGTAACCATAAACTGGGCTATGTATACTGTTATCACGTACTCTTTTTCCATAAACATAATCTTCATCAATACTTTTAAACATAGGGCGTGAATCAATAAGTACCATAAAAATAAATAACCTAAAAGAAACAAATTAATAAAACGCACGCCACAGCACGCAAAATTTGAAAATGCACGTGCAATTTTAAATTTCTGCCTTAAGAGTTGAAAGTTTTTTTTAAGAAAAACTAGAATAACTTACCATATAAAATCTAAAAATATCATTTGCTAATGAATTCAAAATAACATTTAACTAAAAGTTTTTCAAACTCCATTTGCGTGAGTTTGCATTTGTTTGACATGACAATTTGTCGTTTTGACATATTACATCATAAAAAAAATATTATCAATTATTCAAACGCCACTATGGTTTTTAACGATTTATCTGTGACATTTGTCTATATAAAAATAATAATAGAAATGTTAATATATCCAATAAGTATTAAATTCGACAATAAAATGTGCTATATTTTAATTGCCTAAAAAAATAAAAAAATATAAATAAAATGGTACATAATAAAATAATAAATAAATAGTAGTGTAATGTATATATGTATTACCTACAGCCTGGTATGAAAAACTTCAGTACAATGAATTTGGTCAAAGCACCAAGTCATTGTTTATGAAGCTCGCCATCCAAGATCATACTACAATAACTGATCGCCAACCTCGCAAGGAGATGGACAATATAAGACCATGTAGGAATAATTTCAATTATTTACTTCTTTATAATATTAGTATTGACTTAATATAATCAATATTACTCGCTGATATTAATTTGCACATTCATTTTAGATAAAAAGCAATTTAACTTTAAAAAATAATTCTGACCTGTTTTTCAGTTAGAGTAAATTAAAAACGGCCTTCCCATCTCGCTAGACCACTTAAGCACTTAAAATGTCGTCGAGATGAACGACTCTACTTACATGAAGTTTTGGTGCAACTAAATATCATTATGTGGCTTCACTGACATTAATTTTAGGTACAATAGCTTAATAATTGCATATATTTATATATATTATAATCCTATGGTACGTGTGTATGTCTGAACTCCTCTTAAACAGCTGGATCGATTTGGCCTTGGATGGTTTAAATTCACAAATTTGCCCGGCAGATGTCACTGCAGTCGTTACTTTCAAGTAATTAGGATATTAAACATAGTATATGTTTAATATCCAAATTGCTTGAGTTGAGCGCTGGCATCCGATTATGTCCTTTCGATTTTTTTTAAAGAACTGGGGGCAAACGGCTAGGAAACTTTCACCCAGAGGGTTCGCGTCAGCGTTGTCGACCTTTGCGTAACAACTCGAAAGGATCCTAAGACGTATTGGTTTGGAAATACCTCGACGGGCAACTGGCTCCACAAAGCGAAGGTCCGCGGTAAATAATGCCTTTAAAAACGCTCAGTTGTGGAACGGCAAACGGCGAGGTGATATGGGTGGAATTTCATATCCGCCGCGACGTTAGATGTTGATCCGTAGCGTTCATGTACAAAAACACGCAAAATCTAAATAATTATCGGACCTAAAGGTAACTATAAATCTGCATTCATCAAAAATAATTAATTTCGCGATCGCCGAAACAAAATGAGCCGTATAAAACACCTTAATGACAACTCTGAGAAGGAATTTTAAATGTTCCCGTAACAAGGTGCATTAGTTTGTACAGTTCTGCAGTTTATGAACTGAGTACTTAAGTCGGGGCTGAAGGTAGCCTGAATTGTTGATGAATTCATTGCAAGTGTCGACAGACATTCGTTCCTCTTGGGATTAAGCGCGAATATTCATGCTTCCGCTTTCTATAATCGGTTATATCTCTCTGATGAATTGTTAAAAGTGAGCGCAGTTATTGGCAAACTTAAACCATTTTAGCTTATTAAATCATTTGAATATTACTAGATGGATGATGTATAATTATTTATTAGAGTAATATTAGAACGCCTTAATATCTTATTCAATTTGAAAAATAGTATAGGGGAAGGTGGGGACCCTTCGTACGGTTTTCACATTTTATTTTTTAATTTTTTTATTTTTCCATGAATCAATCACCTGATAGCTTAAATTTATAGTCTAACTATCTGAGATTCAAATAAAAAAATGACAAATGATTTCATCCGATGTTTCAACCATAATTATGATTTAAACTAAATCTGGAAAACGTACGAATCTGCCCCATCAACGGGGCACCACCTTCGTACAGTGTTTGGGGTACCTTCTTACGCTGTGGGGTAGTTCAAAATTCATTTATTAGCAATGAAATTAAACACAAAAATAAAGATTTAATTTCTATTAAACAAAAATAAAATACTTTTCTTATGTAAAACAAAATTTAATTAGTTAGGTATCTTAAATTTAGAATTACATTTTTTACTCTTTGGTGTGGATTACAACTTCTTATTTTCGGGTGTGGCAGTATAAATTCGTGGTTTTCCTGGCCGTCATCGTCATTTTGCTTGTTTTATTACTTCTTACAGAATGCGAATAGGGTCGAAATGCCTCTGGTGTCAAAACTGACTTCGAAGGAACTACTATTTGATGGATTGGTAAATTATTCACAGCATCTGGTTCACAAGCATCAAAATCAACCTTAGTCAAGATGCCTTAACAGTAGTGTAATATGTAGAAAGTCGAAAACTTAATTTGTATGAAAAAGACAGTTCGCGTCGACAAATTATTATACAAATTTAGTTGTACAATTCGTACAAATGTGCCCCATCTAGTGCTGTCCGAATGTACCCCACTAACTGAATAACAACAAAATATAACTTATTTTAATATTAATAGGAAAACGTCATAAATTAAGTATTGGAGACGTATCTTAAGTATATTTTGCTAGTTACTGATAGAATACTCTACACGAAAACTTATTTTATCTACGGTAACAAGAGATAAAAACATAGATCAAAAAATTACTTACCGAGCGCGAAAACACGTCTATGCCTGTAACTTCACTCTCATCGGTGCGAATTTCACGAAACTTCGTTGATGTATAGTTGGTACCTCGACTCATGCACACATACAAAAGCAAGACTGTACTTTATTTCGTTCAAGTTTTATTTTGACTGTATGAATGTGCCCCGCGTACGAAGGGTAACGATCTTCCCCTATAAGGAATTTTTTGTAAGTATGAAGTCCTCTATACTTTATTACTATTATTAAAGCTTTATTAATCCATACAACAATTGGTTCGTTAACATTTCTTAATATTAGTATTAGTTGTGTTAGTATAAGTTTTAAAAAAATATTTTTAATATTTTTTTGAGTGGTCTAGTTTTTGTATGGCCCCTTTAAGGGTAAAAGCCTCCTCCATATTTTTCCATTTCTCTTGTCTTGAGCAACATTCATCCAGTTTTTCCCCGCCAGTTCTATAATGTCATCTGTCCATTTTTTTTTTTGTTTTGTCGTCCTATACATCTCTTTCCAGTAGGTCCAGTCCATCCTCTATACATACAATTAATAAATATATTCTCCTCCTCCACCAACGAGGTATGAGAGAATATTTCAGCATTGTCTTACAATTTTTGAAGTTGTACTTCAGGCGCGTTATGAAAAATTGATGAGGGTGAAATTTTACGATTGCGCGCGCACCTATGACACAAAATTGGCAGTGTGATATAGCGTGCGCGAGCGAGATGGGAATAAGACAAACTACAAGTAAAAAGAAATAGAATATGCGTGAAGCTAACTTCACGCATATTCTAGCTTAGCAGCTTAACAAGAATTTTGAATGACCATGACAATTGACATCTGACAATGACATTTACCTTTTAAACAAATATAGGAGTTTTAATTATTGTTTAAAATTAATAATTATATACCTAGTTATTTTCATTATACAAAATATTTGTGAAATAATATAAAATATTTGTGAAAAAACTGTGCTAACCTTCCTGAGTGCTTCAATACAATTGAGGTTAACTATCCGTATGTATTATCGAGTATTATTGTTGATTAAAACTGAAACATGAACCATTATTCATTGCTTTTGTTTATTGCGTTTGTTACAGCAACTTTTTAGAAATATTCTACGACCCTATATATCAATAAATTGAGAACAAAGATTTATAGCACGAATACTAATAAGGAGAAAAGAAGGCAAGGCTTGGAGCGATATAACAGAGAAGTAAACATTTTAATAAGTACCTGCATCTCAAAAAAATGACCACATTATTTAATCAAAACATCAGATTTAATCTAGCAAATATAAGGACAAGAGACAAAAAACAATTGATGAATCAGTGGAAGTGCACTAAATTGAATACAAAAAAAGAGTTGTCATCTTATCGCCGTGAAACATCAAAAACTGGAGGTGGAACAAAGCCACCATCACCTTCTCGAGACACAATGGATATGGCAGAGATGATACCGCAACGGTTTGAAGTAGATTTCAATGAATTTGATTGTGATGGTGTCGAGGTAGGAATGTTAATTATAAATATGATGTATGGTGATGTTCAAGGTTCAACCTTTCAAGCATAGGCATATGCTTACAACATTACTTTATTCCCCTACAGGGTAGTTAGAGATATTGTAATACCTCAAAACATCCATGTTGCACTTGTAGTACCGAAACTCTGTCCTGCCAGAAGTGAGCCCATTCCCACTTATAATGGACAGTGGGTATAATACACCTTAATACCTGAGTGCGAACCACTCACCATGATACTTAAATTAATAGATCTTATTTATATATTTCAGGTTATTACAAATAAAATCATTTTGGAAACAATTGATATCCCAAAAGCAAATAAAGCCAACAATGACAAGGTAATAAATCAGTTTTGACATAACTTGAATACTAGAAAATCCAGACAAAGGGGGTGCACAACAGTGACAACATAACTTAACAATTTCATTATTTTGTAGGATTATAATCCAAAGGTTAAAGAAAATCATGTCGAACTGAACAACAAGAATCCCCAAACAACTCCAAAGAAACCTACAAGGAAGACACCGGTATTATATTTAAATTATCTCTATCTCTAAATAGAATAAAAGAAAGTTGCTATCCAGGTCTGTAGCATGTGCTACAAATTATGTTATTAACACATTTATATAATTATATTAATATAAATGTGTTAAAAAATTTATAATATGAATTATAAAAATTTTAAGTTTTGCATGGACAGAGCTTAAATTAATATTCTCTTATTTGTTGCAGAAAGCAAGTAGTTTTGGAGAAGCCTCGTAGATGCACAACCAAGTAATGATTAATTTAAAATTACA